TTCTTGTGTGTCGTGTTGAGAGTGCCCTCACAAAAATGACACATCTACAAGAAAACAAACACTTTGCGCCCTGAAGATGATCTCAATAAAGATCGAAACGTTGGCACGATAAAGAAAATGTTTTTCTAAAACTTACTTCACACCAGACCGCATCTCACACTTTTGAAATAATCATTAACTAACGGTCACTAAACACCACAAATTCAACATGGAATTAATTGATCATCATAACTATGGTGTTCAACACAATGGTAGATGCTATATAAATTGGACATAACAGAATGTTTTTCAATGTTACAGGCTCTTGTAATTTTCGAGTTATTCGCGATTTTTGGGCAAAAAACGTGATTTTTTACGTGCACATGGTAAAAACCGATCACACTCTCTCTCCCGACTTTACAACACATACACCTATTGTTATTAGAAGTTATTACAATGAGAACTACCACAACACGTATGAAAAGGGAAGGGAAAGATGAATTTCAGTAATTCAAAAGAAAAACACCAAAACGGTTGAGAAATCGACCAAAGTGGAAGGTTACCAACTGAAAGCTTATTAAAATTTCCTATCGATTAATATAGGGCGCCGCACCAGAGCAATTTCCTGGTTACACAATTCAATTTGAAGTTTTGGTAAAAAGTTCAAAAATTAATATGTTCCCGAATTTTTAAATTTACTGATTAATGACTGAAGCTAGGAAAATATTTAAAAAACCATCCTGTTCAGCGTCATGAGACCTACCACAAGATTGTGACGTGAAAGGTTGAATAGATATGTATTTTCAAATGTAAGGTATTGATTGAGTTAAAAAAGTCAGTGTCACGAGCGAGATTCGAACCCACGACCTTCGGTTAAATACGCCGCTTGAGCTATCGTGACAAGTGGAAAGCCCGCTCGTGACACTGACTTTTTTATCTCAACCTAACATAATAATACCTAACATAAAGATGAATTAATTGAAAGATGTTATTTGGTCAATCGGACCACGAAATCTAATGGATGTATTTCCAAAGTTGGCCATTTTATCGTGGAAAAACCAGGTGGTCGGTTCTTTTTGATGGGCAGTGTATTATATCCACTCTTTATTAGCTAATCGTAATTGCACAAGAATCCTCTGTTTATACACTGGGATGAAATTTGAGTTTAGATAGTACAGAAATTTCTTTATAGTGGAATTAGATTTTAGGAACGATTTTATTTTGAGTCGACTACCGGTATTGGTCCAGTGTAAAAAAGATGGCTTTTCTCATCTCCGAATAGAAGAATGTAGGAATAAACTTTTTGAGTTATTCTTTATTATTAAAATGTCTCAGACTGTAGGGTTCATTGCCAGAATCACTTGATTTTACAGAACTAATTGTGCGGATTTTTACAAATCATTATTAAACATAAATAATTTGCCATATATGATCAGAACAAGGTAATTTTTTGGCCTCCGACTAACTGTCTACAAAGAAAACTATGTCGTCGGCAAATAAGAAACAGAACAGAGATCCGGGTTTTTCGAGCATATTCGTTCCAGACCGACTTCTTCATAAAGACAGCGAGAGAGAGAGAGAGAGGGAGAGAGAGAGAGAGAGAGAGAGAGAGAGAGAGAGAGAGAGAGAGAGAGAGAGAGGGAGAGAGAAGAAGGGAGAGAGAAGAAGGGAGAGGGAAGAAGATAGAGAAAGAGAAGAAGAGAGAGAAAGAGAAGAAGAAAGAGAGAGAGATAGATAGATATAGATAGATAGATAGATAGATAGATAGAGATAGATAGATAGATAGAGATAGATAGATAGATAGATAGATATATAGATAGATAGATAGATAGATAGATAGATAGATAGATAGATAGATAGATAGATAGATAGATAGAGAGAGAGAGAGAGAGAGAGAGAGAGAGAGAGAGAGATTGTGAAAGATAGTGTGAGAGAGAGTGATGCTTAAATCTAAAGGTAGGTAGAAAAAGAAAAATACTTGGTACTCGTTACTGGGGGGGGGGGGCTTAGGTTATATCTCAATTAACCGGTTGCTTCGCATTCGGAGGTAATATGAATGGCAGTTTCATCCGACTCTCTGTATAATCTACAAATGGGGTCATCATCATTGAATAAACCCATGCTATTCACATGTTTTCCCAGATGCCAGTGAATGGTTTATAGTCCTATATAACTAGGACTCTCTGATAAAGTAGTGAGTTCGATAGTTTTGATGTGAGTTTTTTAATCATGGGCTCGTGGCTCCTCTACAATTAATCTACTTCTTTTTTCTTTGTGGACCCATTGAAATTAAAGATTGTGTGTTTGTCCTGTTATCCCAGTTATAGTTGGTTTTCCAAACTCTCTTTTGGCCTCATACTCAAGGTAGCGTCAAGCTGTTATGTTTTCCCAGATTTTGAATGAAGTAACCGACTATTTTAGATGTTATATTTGCCGTGCTAATGAGAGGATTTTCTTATCAGTGTAACCTCTTTTAAGGTTTACTATGGTACAAGCATTAATGACATGTATTTCAGCTTGAAAAACCGAGATTTATTTCTATAATTGGATGATATCGCTCGTATTTTGGGATTGCACAGATTATACCAGACCTGTTCCTCCACTGGAGGACACCTTTAGAGTTATTAAATCCACTAGTTTCGTGGTCCACTTGACCAATTAATACTTACAATTAATTAAGGTTTTCAGTTGAGATAAAAAATTCAAGTACTTCACTAAAGCTCTCCGTGGCCATTCCATTTGTCGCCGTGAATCAAATTGATTACACGACATTTGAAAAATGGCAAAAAGGAGGGAAAATTCAAAAGGTGCGGTTGAGATGGGAGGTTGGTGTCCGACTAGATCGAGGTCACGAAAGCTCAAGTGGTAGAGCAGCGGCGTATCAAGCCGAAGATCGTGGGTTCGAATCCCTCTCGTGCCATTGACTTTTTTATCTCAACTGAAAACCTTAATTAATTGTAACTTTAGAGTTTTCTTTATCTAAATGTATTTCATTTTCTACTGATTACTTTATTGATTTAAATCCTGTTTTCGAGATCATTATAGTCAATCCCCATTTCCAACAATAGCTGCATATTTTATTTGTTATTCAAATTTTATTATTTTTTATTAATTTTAACATAATTGATGACAAAAATATTTTAAATCTAGAATGTTTGCTATTTTGTTTAACTAAACACACTTTTTATGCAATGTATTTTCAGTTGCTTATACATTGCGGACCAAGTCCCAGGTCCTCTTCAGAGCTACAATATTCGCTATTTAGCTAAATTGAACTCCTAGTTAAAAAAATTCTAGATTTAAATTATTTGTCATTACTTTATGCCTAACATTGTTAGTCCGAATCCCATTGATTTGTTTCTGATTACTGTATGAACTTTTTTACTATTTACTTGGATATATGCTGCCAATGTAGGGGTTTAACATATACAAAGGTTTCATAGTGTTTCTAAGCCTGGTGGACTTTTTGCCGAGCTTGAAAAAGGACGTAGTCATGCGACGTCTGGGGCAAAAATTCTTTCCCTTCTGCAAAGGCAACTAGTGCCAAGCATTAATGTCCTACGGTTGATTAATTTGTTTTTCTTTAAAACTATCGTACTGTTGAATAAACTAACCCGAAAGTCTCCCTGCCTTTTAGAACACCTTCAAGTACTTTGTACATTGCAAATGTCTGCTTCAGCCACTCAGCATTGACATATCCAGGGCTATTGAATTAATTCGTCATGATCTATAATATTAAAATTATTTTAAAAAAATTCCTTTTCAATTTTTCTGATTTAATTATAGCAAAATTGAACAAGAGAAAAATAATAGAGTCAATTCTATTAACCATCATTAATTCAACGGAAACGACTTTCAGTGTATATTTTCTAGTTTTTTTTCTGTTTCCTTGCTTACATCAAAAAGTTGATTAGTAAAAAGTAGATTTTTGTAGCTTCCCTTAGTTTTGAGGTTTTCTAGCTTAATCTAGCTGAGTCGGACTCAAAGAAGATTTTGTCGACAACTAGTTTGTCAAAAAAAAACGAGTTTTATTATTTATTATTTTTATTATTATTTTTGTTTTTGGCTTGATTTTTGCACATTTGAGCACATCAAGAATATTCTATTGATAAGAATCATTAATATTTTTTTAGAAATATCCAGTAATTAATCACCTAAAAGAGATTCCTTATCAAATTAAGCCATTTATTGATTTTTCCTGGCTTAATTTTATCCCAGTTGAACTAATCAGACTTGATTCTAACGATAAAAACAAAAATAGGTTTTTCTTTCTTTTTGTATTTCTTTCTTAGTGCCTTATACTCGATACCTACTACGAAAATCAATTTTCAGTTTAAGATTATTTGGAGGTCGTGAGATGCGGTCTGGTGTAACATAGGTTTTAGAAAAACATTTTCTTTATCGTGCCAACGTTTCGATCTTTATTGAGATCAAATTCAGGCACTCTCAACACGACAGACAAGAATGACACATCTATACGAAAAACAAACACTTTGAGCCCTGACGATGATCTCAATAAATATCGAAACGTTGGCACGATAAAGAAAATGTTTTTCTAAAACCTACGTTACACCAGACCGCATCTCACGACCTCCAAATAATCATCAAGTAACGGTCACTAAACACCACACCTTTCAGTTTAAGTTTCATTTATTTACCCTTGTCTATTTCTTCACCTTCATAACACACACAAAACAGTTCGTTCAATGCTATTGAAAATAAGCATAAATTGTTTTAAATAGTGCAATAATTTTTTGCTTTTTAATGACAGTTAGTATAGATTTTTTCGAACTGTGCTGTAGAAGGACAAAAAGTTGCAGTCTACCACCGGATGATTTGGTGAACAGCATGTGATAATATAAATAAAATATGTTAGTTCGATGAAAATGAAACAAATTATAAGTGACAAAACCATTTTTGAATGCAAGAAAGTTTTTTTATTTAGTTTACATTTATTAGGTGTTATTCTCCATGCAAAATAGTTGTCGATTATGCTGAAAGGTGAAAAATCGTGCTTGTACCTTCGTTGACCTTCTCAACTACGTCGTTGACAGGTGTTATCTTGTTTCTGCTGCTCGTCGCCGAAGAGGTCTTGGCGACGCTGTTCTTCCTGCTCGTAAGGCTCGGAGGTTTGTCCATCGTGAAGTCCTGGAAAATATAGAAAATCGGTCAAATGGCGAGTGAGTATAAATATAAATAGATCGCCGGTGAAGATAATTGGAGACAACTGCGCAGTCATTTACTTCTACCGGCCGAATTGATCGTTACGACAATTATCGGCGTATTTATTTAAAATTATTTTAGTACCAGTATAAAAGGTTAAAATGTCATTTGTCATTGACGACGACTTACTCGTTTTTATGACCGATGCTATATTTCATTTTTTCCCTATGGTAGCCGCCATCAAGATGAATTTATTCTGTTACTTCATTTCTGAAAAAAAAACATTAAATACATTAAATTTCAAATTTCATAACTAATTGAATTGTGATTATTTTACAAACAATACTACTCACTTTCCTATACACAAGAAACATTTTTACATTGAAATGATCCCAAAGCCTCATAAGAATATAAGCTCCCCAACATCTTATCGTCCTAATAGTTTGCTAACCTTCCTTCTAAATTATTCGAAAAATTAATTTACAAAATATTATTTCTTCTGCTACTTCGTACAACATCCTACCAGGCTAACAATTTGGTTTTCAAACCCATCACTACTCATCAACATCACAGAATTACCGATTTCGTTACTTCTCGTCGGGACCGGAGTATTTCTTGATCTTCCTTAGGCCTTCGACAAAGTATGGCATGAGGGATTATTACTCGAATTAAATTTATTTACCGCAGGCCTATTATCTGATTATACATTACAGTCATACATTAAGGAGAGATTTTTCGCAGTAAACCAGAGATCGGAGCTTCTGAGATGAAATAATTACTTGCAGATGTGTCACTAGGGTCAATAGCGGGTATAAGCTCACTAGTTGTAGTGGTCCGCTTGACCAGTTAATATCTTTCAATTAATTAAGGTTTTAAGTTGAGACAAAAAAGTGAGTGCACGAGCGGGATTCGAACCCGCGACCTTCGGCTAGATACGCCGCTGCTCTACCACTTGAGCTATCTTGACTTCTATCCACTCGGATACCAACTCTCCATCTTAACCTACAACTATTCGAATTTTCCCTCTTTTTTCCATTGTCAATGTCGTGTAATCAGGATTCGATTATCAGCGACTTATGAAGTGGCCACGGAGAGCTTCAGTGAAGATATAGTTCATTTTAACTTATTAAATTCGCTAGTTTTTGTGGTCCGCTTGACCAGTTAATACCTTTCAATTAATTAATATTTTAGTTGAGATAAAAAAGTTAGTGTCACGAGCGGGATTCGAACCCACGACCTTCGGCTAAATACGCCGCTGCTCCACTTGAACTACCGTGACTTCAATCCTCGGACACGAACTGCCCATCCCAACCTACATTTCGAATTTTTCCCCGTGGCCACTTCATAAGTCGCTGAGAATCGAACCCTGATAACACTACATTTGAAAATGGCAAAAAGAGGGGAAAAATTCGAAAGGTTGGGTTGAGATGGGCAGTTAGTGTCCGAGTGGTGGAGGTCACGGTAGTTCAAGTGGTTAAAGCAGCAGTGTATTTAGCCGAAGGTCGTGGGTTCGAATCCCACTCGTGACACTGACGATTTATTAAGAATTGATTAAGATTTATTAATTGAAAGTTATTACAAACTTGGATTTCTTAAAAAAAAAAAAAAATGAAAGTATGTATGTTTTAGCCATTTGTTTATAAAAAAATTCTGACATATTTTGGTATATTTTTTATTTTGCAGTCTAATAAAATGAACTCCGATGAACCCCGTTAGATTTCGATTCGATAGGGCTAATTCTATCGATAACATTCATTAATTCGTCAACACAATTTTTCGTGTACATTTCATTGCTTATTTCGATATTTCCGCGTTTGAATCTTGCAAATCACGACACGCTAGATTCTATCGATAGAAACAGTAAATTGTAAAAAAAAAAGAAAAAGAAAACATTTGTGCCGTTTTCAACATTCTTCATTTAATTCCCTAATTTCGTGGTCCGCTTGACCAACTAATATATTATATCTAATTAAGGTTTTCAGTTGAGATGAAAAAAGTTAATGGCACGAGCGGGATTCGAACCAACGATCTTCGGCTAGATACGCCGCTGCTCTACCACTTGAGCTATTGTGACCTCGATCCACTCTGACATCAACTTCCCATCTNTATGCAGTCCATTAAATCTAGAAGAGAATTAAAATTTGGCAAAAACAAGATGGATAAAACAATCGATTTTCGGGTTTGTAGAGCCGATGACTATCGATAATTGAAAATATAAAATATTTTATATTATCGATAATTAACTGAATTATGTATAAAATAAATAAATATATAAATAACCATTATAAAAAAGAAACCTTTTTCCGTATTGCTCCATGAAGAAACATGGACCTCCTTGGCACAGTCAAGGTAAAATGGCACATTTATGATAAAGCATAGCGTTACCCGAGGTAAATGAGTACATTATGCAACTTGTTTATTAACAAGTTATTATTTAAAAAATGTTACTGTTCAAGCAACACATTTAAATTATATTAAATTTTTTTTCACAGGAAATTTTCACTAAATAAAATCCATTATATTTCGTGATCCGATTGACCAAATAACTTCTTTCAATTAATTAATCTTTATGTAAGGTATTGGTTGAAATGAATCGAAGTCACGATTGCTCAAGTGGTAGAGCAGCGGCGTATTTAGCCGAAGATCGTGAGTTCGAATCCCGTCGTGACACTAACTTTTTTCATTTCAACCAATACCTTACATAAACATTAATTAATTGAACTAAATACAAATTTTAAAATAAATTTTTTAACGAAGTTGTTAACTGTATTTGTTTACTTTGGTTGTACGTGTTGTTCTTGAAAAAAGAAAACAAAGAGGCGTATTATGTTGACATTTTCTAAAAATATTGATATCTATTGACTTAAGTCTGAGACATGGGACTTCTTTTCCTATTCTCGATAATGCCGTTATCGATCCCTTACTTTATTTATGTATGAATGTCAACGCAATCGTTTGAAGAAAGATTCATTTTTCCCCTCTGAGTCCGAAAATAGAAATTCAATGGGACGATTTTGGATTAATAAAAGTTCAAGTTAAGGGTGCGCATTGCCTGGCTTTTGACGACTGGAACTAATTGTTTCCGGGTCGTTAGGTCCAAAGATTTCTTTTTTTGGACACCGGCCAAATGATTGAACAGTCTATTCATAGTGATGATAAAACGAATTAAGTGCCCGACGAAGTGACCGGATCGAAGCAGTTCCCTCTCAAACCTAATAAACAAACGTTAGGGTGGTAAATCAAGTCGGATGTTGAAACAGTTTCAAAAATAACAATGTCAAATTACAGATCGCAAAAATATTTTCCAACCTGAAGTCAAGACTACTTTTATGTATTTCAATATATGGATCATTTTATTGTTTACATATGACATTTGAAAAAAGCGCCTTATTATGTTTTTAAATTTTATATATTTATCAATTAATTAAGGTTTTTACTTGTGATAAAAAAGCCAGTGTTACGAGCGGGATTCGAACCCACGACCTTCGGCTAGATACGCCGCTACTCTACCACTTGAGCTATCATGGTAAAACTAAAACTAGTGAATTTAATAAGTAAAAATGAAGTATACTTCNTATTTTTTTCAAGTTTATATACTTGATTTTTGAAATGTTTAACTTGTGACGTCTGGGATGCATAACAGATCGCCAAATATTTTCCAACCTGAAGTCAAGACTACTATTATATATTTTAATATATGGATCATTTATTGTTTACGTATGGCTTTCAAAAAAAGCGCCTTATTATTTTTGTTTAATTTTATGTATTTATTACAATCTAAAATCATGTTATGTAATGAGCCGGATTTACAAATGACATAGGTTATGCCGCACCATAAGAAAAGTGACATAAGTCGAAAAAATATAAAAACCTGATTATTATTATTATTATTTTTTTTTTGAAGTATTCGGATGTGTGAAGCTATAGAAAAAATGACACAACGTGTTTCAGCAATTCACCATCTTCAGGGATCATCAGTGGAAAGAACTACACCGTTCGCTCTTCTTGAGTTCTTTATTTACCCCGACAATGGATGGCACTATACAGCCCATTGCAAAAATAGAAACAAAAATTTCTGTATATAGCGTGTTGCGTATTTTTTTCAAGTTTATATACTTGATTTTTGAAATATTTAACTTGTGACAAATTGTCTGGGATGCGTATTTTTAAAGGATTTTGCTTGAAAAATTCCAAAAACGCATTTTTAAGAATTGAATATTAAAAATTACACGACCGTCATTAATTAATTTAGCAATTTAACGTTTAAAACATAAATACCCGAATAAACGGATTATTATTAATATTAATTACGTTTATAAATAATTCTGTTAATGGGATGCGGATTTGCATAAATATTGAAAAGCGTGGGCCACCATCTTGTTTCGGCTCTTTTCAAGGAATAAATTAGAGTCTAAGCATATTTCGGGAATGTTTTGATTTCTAAATACATTTGAGGCGTGTTTCGAAATCGGCAATTTGTTAGAACGGATTGATTTGTTGGACAAGAAGCCAAGAGAGTTAGTTATCCACTGGCTAACATGTTTCTTCAGACGTTTTTTATTCGGTTTGCACGCATGGAACACAAGAGGGAACGCATAAATAACATTTTTCTGGAATCTCGTTTTAAACATGTTCGAACATGAAGTTTTTAGGAAAAAATATACTACGTAATAAGACATCGCAACATAAAAAAAAACTTAGTCAACACTAATAAATAATTTAAAAAACTTTGTTTTTAAGTTTTACTACAATAAAATAGTTCTCAATACATGACTGAACGAATATCTCAGACAGAAGGACAAAAAGAAAATGAAGGAAGAATGGAATTCACTCATTGGACATAGACAATCCAACAATCTTCTAACCAATTTTGGTAGGAAAGAAATCACAGAATGTGTCAAAGGAAGGAGGAACAGACTGCAAATCCTAACAGGACACTTAAAGAAAATTGGAACAATCCAAGATGGCACCTGCAGATTCTGCAAAGAGGCAGAAGAGAGACCAACACATTTACTAACAATCTGCGGAACTACATTAGCCCGCAGGAGGAAACGTTTTGGGATGTACAATGTGACCATAGAAGAACTACAACCACTGAAACCGGGCCTATTAATCAAATTTACTGATGAAATAGGACTCACCGATGTGCTTTAGGCGTGCTTAACAATTACCATAATTTAACAGGAGCTACTAAATGTTGGTATCCTATCCCAGCCTCCTTATACTACTTACTCTCCTTGTAGACCATTCTTTTTTTGGAGTTGTGGACA